GTGACGTACCATGCAGGCCCGCGTGCACAGAAGCTGGGCGGGGGGCGGGAGGGAGGACGCAATGGACAGGGCCCGGCAGGGACTGGCATGTCCCCACCCCCTTGCGAAACACTGGCCCGGCCTCCCTCTGCCCACAGCCTCCGGGAAACGGGCCGGTCTTCCTGCCTGGAAGGGAGTTCCCAGAATCCAGAGCAAAGCCTGCGCCCTGGGGTCATCGCAAGGTGACTCCCTCCCGTGCACATTCCTGTCCAGGCCCAGTGTTTACCAGAGCGGTTTCGTCCCGAGGGCTGCGGTGTGCAGACAGGAGTCCTGCCCTCCGGGGCCAGGGGACACAGCCAAGTGCTTGGGGCGGGAGACAGGGACCCAGGGCCCCGGGCCAGCCGGGCGGGGGCCAGCCCAGGGAGCCTGCCGGGGGGGTGGGGGGAGCCCTGGAGGCCGGGGTGGGCGGGGAGGGGGCGGCATGCTCGGGCTCCCGCTCCAGCACTGGACACAGCTGGGGTCTCTGAGAAGGCCCACTCCGCTCCCTCTCCCTCCTGTCCTCTCCTCTCTGCAGACAGACGGAACTTTCTAGTATGTGCGGATGTGGCCGGTCCCTGCCCAGCGCAGACTCCTCCAGGGCTCCCACTGCCCTCGGGGCAGACTCTGCCCTGCAGTCTGGTCTCCACTTCCTGCACCAACGTGATCAGCTCCTCTGACACACACACACACACACACACACACACACACACATGCACACACGCAGGCACACACAGGCACACACAAGCAGGCACACAGAGACACACACAGGCGCACACACAGGCACACACAAGCACACACAGGCACACACAGACACGCACGCACACGCGCGCATGCACACACAGGCACACACAGACACACAGGTACACACACAGGCATACCTGCACGCACACACAGGTACACACACAGGCACACAGAGACACGCGCACACACATGCACACACATGCACACAGGCGCACACAGGTGCACACGCACACACAGACACACAAAGACACACACACAGGCACACAGTCCCTGTCTGGCTGGTTCCACTCCCTTTAAACTCAGGGAGCAGAAGCCCCTCCGGCCTCCACAGCTGCTTACACACCCCCCTGAGGTCGGGCTGCCGTGACCTGCGGGCTGCACCCCTGGGAACTGACGGAGGGAGACCAGCACATGGGGCGGGAGCCAGAGGGGCCGTCCCGTCACGGCCCTGTGAGGAGGTTGGAGGGGCGGTGGCTGTGGCCAGATCCTCCCAGATGCCCCGGCACCGTCCGTCCTCCACGGCCCTGCCCAGGGCACGGGGTGGGGGGGATCAGGACCGGCCCAC